GGGGCGGGTCGCGGCCCCATTGACGCTCCTATTTAAGTGGCTGGCGTGCGCATTCTGACTCAGTCATGGCTTTGAGGCACGTGCTGTCCCGTTCCTGCGCCGGCGTCCCTTGTTTCGCCCGTCTGTCCACGGCACCGGCGGCCTCCGGACAGCCTGCTGCGGACTCTCAAGCCGTGCCGGGGCGAGAGGCGGTCAAGGCTGTGCGACCCCCGGTGCCCTCAGTGGACTTCAACAATGCACAGGAGGCTTACCGCAACCGGCGGAACTGGGAGCTGGTGCGCAGCCTCGTGGTGCTGCGTCTGTGCGCCTCGCAGGCGCTGCTGGCGCACCACGAACAGGTGCGCGGGGCGCGGGTGGGCGCGGGCGGCGGGCAGCGCGGGGTCCACGGCCTCCGCCCAGGGCTGCAGAGCGTAAAGCGGGGACCGCTCGGACAGCGTTACCGAGAGAGAAGCCCCGAGGGTGGTGCTTCCTCACGCCCATTTGAACTCTTAACTCTGGTGGCTGAACCGTTAAGCAGTCAGGTACTAATGGGAAGGTGGACATTTGGAACACACCCAGGGCTCCGCAGGAGAAACCCTTGCGATCTGTGCCCTAAAGACTAGTGTTGTGGGGAGCTCTGGTGGCCTAGTGGCAAGAAACTGCACTGCAATCGTAGAGGTGCGTGGTTCAAATCCATCAGATGCTCTGCTGGAGAAGGAGGACCAATCTCCTCCTGTACCAGTCAGATCTGATTTGACGCTACACGCAAGTAATAATAATAATAGTAATAATAACAACAACAACAACTGTTGTTGTTAGGTGCTTTCAAGGCGGCTGCTACTTGTAGCGACCTTATTATGAATAGCAGATCGGAACCTTGCCTTATCCTGTGTCCTCCTCACCATTTCTGATAGATTCAAGCTTATTGTTACAGTCTGCGTCAGTCCATCTCGGTAAGGGTCTTCCTTTCTTTCTTTGATCCTTCACTTTTCCCAGCAAAATGCCTTTTCCCAGGAACTGGCCCCTCCTAATCACATGCCCAAAGTATGCGAGATGAAATTTTACCATCCTTGCCTCCAAGGAGCGCCCGGATTTCCCTTCCTCCAAGACAGCCGGCATAGAAAACCCCATGGGACACTTACTTCTCCTCTGTCACGTTTCTCCATTAGGTGAAAATTAAGTGGAAGGTATCTAAGAATACCTAACAACAGCAAATCCCAAAAACCAATTCGATTTTTGTCTTGTTTTGTTTGGAAGCCAGAAGGTTATAAACCAGATTAATAACAGAATGCAGTCAAGATGGCCCCTGAAATGTGCATGCAGGAACCTCAGCCTTGAGCCTTGTGGTTCTAAGTGTTCCTAGATTCTCAGTCCTGTCAATATTGGCTTCCCCTCAGTTGTCCAACTAAGTTCTCAGTCCTGCCATAGTAGCGCGCGCGCACACACACACACACACACACACACACACATACACATATCTCTTCTCACATCATGTCTCCAGTTCAGCCCTGGTTGCTGCTGTCTCAAGCGTGTCCTACCTTTCACCAGCTTTGGGGAGATCTTTTTCCTCTTCTGGCTGGGAAAGAATTTTCTAATTCGGTTGTTAAGATGTATGTTGTTGTCAAATGAAACACTACCTTGTGACTTCCTCACAGTCATTGCTTTTATTTAAGCTTATTGCTCCAGCCGCCGTGTAGGTCTGTCTCCTTCAGGGTCTTTATGGCTTGACTGTCTGCTTTAGCAAGCATAATGACCCTCTGCAGGGCTGGTTCCTCCTGACAACAAGTTCAAAGTACAGGAGATAAGAATCACCATCCTCATGTGTAAGGAGCACGCTGGCTGCCCCTCTTCTAAGACAGATTTGTTTGTTTGTCCTCCTGGCAATCTGTGGTCTAGTCAATATTCTTTACCAATACCGTAATTCACATGCCTCAGTTCTTCTGTCTTCCTTATTCATTGCGCTGCTTTGTATGTTGTTGTTGCTGTTGTGTACTGTGGAATTGCAACTGACCCATAGCTGACTCTACAGTGGGTTTTCAAAGGCAGTAAATTGCACAGGAAGAGA